AATTACTCGCTGAGATTTATTCTCACTGTTGTTGAAACCCAATTTTTCAGACCCCCAGCCCTGAGGATGGCAGGCGTATTGAAACGTTTTGGGAGGAGCCCCGGCTAGATATAGTGGTTGATCGCCGAGCCACGTACCCCGCTTTTGATTTTTGAGTGTGGGCTGTTTATGAATATTGTATATGTTTCCCGATGTCAAAACAAGTGTATATTTATCCGTGCTGGTTGTTGTATGGCTATCCTGGATTATGTGTATTTTATTGTACGGGTGGTTTTAATTACTTCCGCATGTGCTTTATATCTCTGTGTTGGGTGTTGGGTCGGCGACGCGTCCTGGGACGTCGCACACGAATCGACCTTTACGAGGGATGTTGCGCGCCGAGGAGTGCGGGGCGTGACATGATAGATGATGGAGAAAGCTTTGGAGTCTTCATGACACTGCCTGCAGGTATATGCACCATCGAGATCATCTCGAAAGAATGATAGCTTGGCTCTTCACTCACTTCGGGTTCGATGTACAATATCGCACTCTCTTTGTAGGTCGCGAAGTCCGTTTCCCCATGTACATTGATCATCTTTCCACTAATGACAAATCTAACTTTCTGATGTAGGCTCGATGGAATGGCGCCCGCCGTATGAATCCATGGCTTTCGCAACAACAAATTAAAGGTCCTTGGAATGTCAACAACTTGGAAATTGATCAGGAAAAGAACGGGACCAATGATCACTTCTAATTCAATGTCTCTAATAACATCCCTTTTCATGCCGTCGAATGATCGCACAGTCACATTCGATGGTTTTATAGACTCATCATTGATCCCCAATTGATATAGCATGCTTAATGGGCACAAGTTGAGAGCTGAACCATTGTCAACTAACACTCGAGATACTTCCTTGCCTTTACACTTGACTGCGATGTATAATGCCTTATTATGTGAGCGACTGTTGACACTTACATTTCGGCGCATCATTTAGTGGTTAATTGCATAGAAAATTAGGGATTAAATTTTAACCGCTGAACAAAAATATTACAAATCGCATAGCATAAAGTTTAGGTTCATATAGATTAACTGCATTTCGCATCGGATCGGCGGTGGTAAGCGAGCTTAAAATTCATCATGTAAATCGAGCTCGGGCACCGAACGAGACTCGGCTCACTCGGAAAGCATGGGCCGAAAATCACACCTAAAAGGGGCTTGATTGTCTTAATTTGAGCTTAAATTAGCCCATTATGCTTAATTAAAGAAAAGCCCAAATTAATTCAGCCCACATAGAATTAAATTAAAGCTTAAACCTTAGCCCATTAGGATTAGAAAGCCCGGCTAATTGACCTAGGTTTACACTATAAATATATGTTTATGTCTCATAAGGGGAGGGGCCTCTCATAATTTTTCAGATCGGATTTTTAGAGAGACATACGACAGAATTTTGAGAAGAGTGAGAGAGAGAGAGAAGGAGACCGCCCGCCGCACCGCACTGCACGCCTGCCGTGCCACCGCCTGCCGCACTACGCCGGAGCTGCTCCGCCCCTCAGCCGCTGTGTGCCACCGCCGCGCGCCGCTGCCTCCTGCCGCGCCCTGTCGTCTCTAGTCGTGTGCCACCGCCGCTGCACGCCTGCCTGCCGCTGCCTCGTCGCACACCACCGCCGCGCCGGTGCCACCGCCGCCTGGACGTCCCTGCTCCCCCCGCCTGTGTCGCCGCTGCTCGTTGCACAGCTGTCGGAGAGCTGCCCTGCACCGCCGCTCGCCAGCCGGAGCCGCCTGCACCGCCGTTAGCCCACCGCCTATGCTGCCGCTGTTCGCTGCACAGCCGCCGAAGAGTCGCCCGTCCCCGCCTATTGGCTGCTGCCCCGAGACGCCCGCTGCGCCGCCGTTCCCACCGGTCACCATCCCGATCCGCAATCCCGATCCGCTGCAAATTCAAATTTGGAAAGAAATCTGCAAATCAGGTAATTATCTTATCCTAATTTGATTTGAATATTTTGTTGCCTAATTCGTGCTTATTGATATCTAACTTTGCATATTTGAACAATAGGCATTATTTCAATTAGGATTTTATTTCCTTTTTTGAAATCTTGGATATCTATTACTTTTCAAATTTGGGTAGAATTTAGAATTTTCAAAATCTTTTGAATATATTTAAGATATCTAATTTTTTTCAAGATGTGATTGATTAGGAAAATTTCCTAATCCGCAACCGCACACGTGGAAGTAAATCTATCTATCAGGCTTTAGATAGAGTTATTTCCATAGCGGGTATTTCGAATTTTAGGATCGATCTGTCAGGCTTCAGATTGAAACTTAATTCGAAAGATTTAGCGGTTATATTTTTTTACTTGATTTTAACTTCAAATTTTGATAAAAAAATGCCAAAACGATTACTCTAGAATAGGTTAATTTCTTTAGTTTAAAATTGCATGTTTAGATAATTGGCATTTTTAATTCCGAATTTCATTAAAGAAAAAATACAAAAATAATAATATGCCCATCATTAGAAATAGATCACGTCGTCGCATGACATATAGTTTGCATGTTAGGTTGCATTAATCACATGTCAATTTTTGCACGTCATTACATATAGGTTAGCTTTCATTTAAATAAATAAAAAATCAAAAAAGAAAATTTCTGCACCTCTGAACTCTAAGTCAGGATTTATCAAAATTGTCCAATTGAGTATTTCTCTTGAAATTGGTACCGAAAGGGCGTTAGGGAATCTAGCGTAACCAAGTCCCCGAATTTATAATTTCCGGTTCGCAGAAATAAAATAGTACTCCCACTATTTTATTTAGGTTTCTAATCAATCTACCTTAAATGATTAGTGGCGACTCCCATTGAAAATATTTGCATGCTCACAATTGGACCTAAGTTGCGATTTGGTAGAGTTTGGGAGAACTTGAGCTAGGTTAGTTAATTTAATTGATCTAGTAATCCATTAGCCTAAGATTGAAAACCCGATTTTTTTAGGTCGCGACAGCGACCATCCATGGGAAAATCTTCATCTGAGAAAGCAATTTGATCCTTCAAGAGGACAGTGCCAACAAAATCTTCCAATTGCACTGCATTAATAGTTTCTGGCACGTGCACCTCATTAAGGAGCTTCATGAGAACCATCTTGTGTCTTTCAAATGTTTTGAATAGATCAATCAGAGAAATTTATACCGGCATCTTCCTTAGTTGTTCTATTACTTCAAATTCACTCGTCTTTATGACGGATAGGAGTTGTTTGGCATCTTCTTCTGTCACCCCTTTTTTTTCAACTTATCCCTCCTTTGAAGCATAACATCTACCCGATCGGATAATAGCATCAACTTCATTTGGGGAATAGTCCTATGGCACGTGTTTGGTATCAAATTCGGCTTTTGGGGGTAATGTAATCACAATTGGTTGCGATTCATTCTCTTTAATCTTCAAAGTCTTCAACTGATCAACCGGAAGTTGGATGGTAATCGGCTCCACATGACATTTCTCTTCCCCATATTTATCGATCTCATCCAGTTTGATCACGAATGGTGTAATCATGGATACTATACCTTCATCGTTCTCATCATTCATTCCGCCCCAACCATTGGGTACAATGACTTCATTTTTGAAAGCCTATGGAGGAGGTGTGTATTTGACATGGAAGTTCTAGCAACCACTATCTTGGCCCAACAAATCAATAGTTTCACCTTGCTTACGTGTCTCTTGGATGAGCCAATTATTGCCTTGGCGAATATTCTCTCTTTTATGTTCTTCTTCATCTTCCTCCTCTTTGAGATTTATTTCATCATTCTGAATCTCGTCTATATCACCCCACCCATCAGGCATAATCACTTCATTTTTGAAAGCCCATAGAGGGGGTGTGTATTTGACATGGAAATTGTAACGACCACTGTCTTGGCCCAACAAGTCAACAGTTTCACCTCGCTCATGTGTCTCGCGGACGAATCGTTTGTCATTTTGGTGGATTTTCTCTCTTTTCTATTCTTCTTCATCTTCCTCCTCTTCGGGATTCATCTCATTATTTTGAATTTCATTCATACCACCGTACCCATCGGGCACAATGACTTTATTTTTGAAGGCCCATAGAGGGGGTGTATATTTGACTTGGAAATTGTACTTCCCTGAATCTTCACCCAAGGTGTCTATTATCTCACCTTTTTTATGAGCCTCACGACGGAATCGAGCATCACCGCAACGGGTGGCTTATCTTGGCTTCATATTTGACGTCTTCATCGAACTCGGCTTTCTCATTTTCAGCCCATCTCATTCCTACCACATTGTGTTCCAGTAGCGGATTCTGATGAACGTTCGGCTCCGGCTCTTGGAAGTTGAGAATCTTTCTATCGATAAGTTATTGGACCTTGATTTTCAAGGTGAGGCAATTGTCCATATCATGCCCCCATTCACCCATGTAATATGCATAGGTTTTGGACTCATCAAATCCGGGGAACCTTGGAGGATGTTCTCTAGGCACTTCTTTAGCCACCATGTGCCCTTCTAGAAGCATGGGTAGTAACTTTGATAAAGGTCGCGGAAATGGTGTGAATTGTTTCATGGGTCTCTTTTTTGGTTTGAACGGCTTTGTATCTTTCTAAGCAGTGTTCGATTGTTTTTGGAGCGGTGCTGAATAGGCATTTGGGCTTGACACAACCGCCATTTCATGAGTGGACTCTTTATCCTTCCTTATATGATAAGGTCTTCGTGACGACACTTCTTGGGTTTTCTTTTCCTTCATTTCCCATTCTATCCTTTCACCCACCTTCATGAGCATGGTGAATGTCTGACATCCCAAGACATGCAACTTGTCATAATACTCATATGGTAATGACTTCAAGAAGAGCTCAATGAGCTCGTCTTCATTGATTGCGGGCTTGACTTGTGAGGTAACGGCTTTCCACCTCTATGCAAAGGCTCGGAATCGTTCATTTCTCCTCTTTTCAGTTCTCATAAGGTTTTCTCTTGTTGGCAGCACTTCAACTTTAAACTTGTATTGACGCAAGAACTCTCCGGCTAGATGATCTCATTTGGTAAAGTCCTTGATATCAAGGGTAGTGTACCATGCTAAAGCCGACCCTCTCAAACTATCTTGGAATGTAGTGATAAGAAGGGGTGTGTTGTCAGAATATCTTGCCATCTTGCGGAGGTAGTATTTTAGGTGACTCTTCGGGCAACCGCTTCCACCATACTTGCTCACAAATTCGAGCTCTTTGTAGTTCTCTAGAACCACCACTTTAGCATATGGTGAGAACTTGTCAAATCTCCATAGCTCATAGCCTTGACTTGTGAGGCACTCTTCAATTTTAGCTAATCTTTTGGCTCCCTCTTCATCTTTGGGTTTATAAGAAGTCTTCTTTGATGTATCTTCCTCCTCTAAATTTACCACTTCGGGTTTGGCTTTTGGAGGGTTTTCTTGAATTGGCTCTTTATTTCTATTTTGTTCCTCGTGAGATGTTTCTCCAGCATTTGGGGCACCGATATTGGGGATCGTAGGATATGAACCCCTTGCAGTAATTATTAAAGCTTTCATTTCTGCCATCATGGCAGCCATCTGATTCATCTGGTTTTCAACTTCCGCCAAACGATTACGGGTTTCTTCCTCTGCCAATCTTACTTGTAAGCGGGTCCAAACTCGTGCTCTTCTTTCTTCCATTTTTATGCCACCTTCGTCAAAGATACAAAACATTAGTATGAAGAAGCAACGATTAAAACCTATGTTTCTTCAATTATGTGGTTTCTTTTTTATTAATAAGGATAATAATTTTTACACAAGCCTTAGCCCTGTGTATTAAATTTCTTATCAATATTTATCTCAAGAAATCATATAATTCAAATAATCGTAATCCATTGTGATTTCTTTATTATATTTCAAATCGTAATCCAAATCTAATCGAATGTATTCAACAAGTGATTGTTTCAACTTTGCATATGAAATTTAAAAGTTTTCAATACAATGCTTCAAACTCGAATGGGGAGCTAATTTATTCAAGTCTAGGCTTCTTGCTAGCTAAGGTAGCTTTCGCCTGTTGCGCCGCGCTTTTCGCTCTCTTATGGAGGTACTTTCGTTCGTCACGAATGAGGAAACTGTCCCCAAATGGGCTACTAAAGTCCGAAATGGATATTTCGCCCAAATGTCCCATAGACATCCCACTACTAGCCAAACGAGAGTCTCTCCCAGACCATACCTCGCGTGACAGCGGGTATTTATTTTCTAATCTTTTCTATTTAGCCTAAGTTTTAGTTTGGAGTCGCCACTAGTCATTATTAGTAGGTTAACTAGAAACCCAATGAGGTACGGGAGAAATACCACGATTCTGCGAATCAGAGATTACATGGGTAAGGAGACTTGGTTACGCTAATGATCCCGAATCAAGATCTCTAAAGCCCTTTCGGTACCTAAAATGATACGATGTATCTAATGTGTCACGCGAGTTCGCAAGGCCTATCCACTAATTCTAACCATTCTAATCAGGAGAAATCAATCAATGAACACAGAAATGCATAACCAATTTCAAAGAAGCACGACAATCCTAATATGGTATCTAAAATGAACATCAATCAAAACACCCAAATCCTATTAAAGCCCTAAAGGCATATTCATTCAATGAATTGTGTAGTTTTGGGGTTTTATAGGGGTTAAGACCCTTTTTATTCATTCTATTAATTTTTGAAATTTTCTGATTTTTTTTGGGAAAATTTTTATTACCGAAAATATTAAAATTAATTTTTTTTACATTTTCTGAATTTTTCAATTTTTTAGAATTTTCTGCATTTTCTGATTTTTTTTTATGAATTTTTTGGAATTTTTATAATTTTCTGAATATTATTTTTTTTGGAATTTTTTGGAATTTTTTAGAATTTTTTAATTTTCTCCCCGGAAACCGAACTGGGTGTCGCACCACGCTTTTGGCACGCTAAGGAGGTACCTCCATTTGTCACGAATGGGGAAACTATCTCCGAATGAGCTACTAGGGTCCGATACGGATATTTCGCCCAAACGTCCCACAAACATCCCATCATTAGACAAACGGGGGGCCTCTCCTAGACCATACCTCACGTGACAGCAGGTTATAATTTTTCTTTTTCTATTCAATCTAAATTTTTGATTTGGAGTCGCCACTAGTCATTATTGGTAGGTTGACTAGAAACCTAATTGAGATACGAGAGAAATACCACGATTCTGCGAATCAGAGATTATGAGTAAGGGGACTTGGTTATGCTAATGATCCTGAATTGAGATCTTTAACGCCCTTTCGGTACCTAAAACGATACAATGTGTCTAACGTGTCACATGAGTTTCCGAGGTCTATCCACTAATTCTAACCATTCTAATCGTGGAAAATCAATCAATCATCATTAACACCACAATCAATTGCAATTAAGCAAAGCAATCCTAAATTATCTCTAAAAGGAAGCCAATCCAAAACACCCAAACCCTAGTAAAGCCCTAAAGGCTTGTTCATTCCATGATTTATGTTGTTTTAAGGTTTTAGGGTTATTTAGGGGTTGAAACTCCTTTAATCCCCAAACTAAGGATTTCCTAAAAATGTCATTTAGGCACTTCAAAAAAATTCTAATTTCACTTGCAAAGGTTGGCCACAATGTTTCTGAATCGTTCTGTGAATTTTTTTTTTTTGGAAAAAATTTTCAGTGAATTACTTTTCCCAAGAGCTAATTTTTTATTTTTATTTCCTGTAATTTCCAAAATTTTTGAGATTTTTATTTTTTTATATTTTTTTCTGCATTTTTCACATTTTTATTTGATTTTCTAAATTTTTTAGATTTTTATGGAATTTTCAGAAATTTTTGATTTTTTTGAGAATTTTCTTTGAATTTTCCAAATTTCTGAAAAATTTGGATTTTCTGAAAATATTTTTTTATTGAATTTTCCAGTTTTCCAAAAAAAAATTTGGTTTTTCTAATTTTTTTATTTTTTTGGTTTTTCTGATTTTTTAGAATTTTTTTGTATTTTTTTATTGATTTTTATTTATTTATTTATTTATTTTTCTTATAATTTTTCCCGCCGAGAAAGCAAATCGAGCCAGCCAGTTCAGACTGATCCAACCAAGTCGAACCGGCCAGCACCGGGCGAGCACAATGCCATTTCACCGTTTCTCATTAGGGCATTTTCTCAAATACCTGGTGGGCACAAATCATGCATTAATATTCTCGAGGCCGCTGGTTTGAGCTCGTCGTCGATGAGCTTCCAGCGACCTTTTCTTCTTTTTGATTAGTTATGGACAAAGTTCAGATCATCCACTATCCACCTGTATGAACCAAATTGGCTGCCGGACCAACGCCGGCCAGCGATATTCAAACTTAAAACCCTAACCTAAAACTAATCCAGACAACCTTCAGCGATTTCCAGATTCTTCCCTAGTCCGCCCTAGCCATCTGCATCAGTCCAAATCAATATAAAATCATCAAACAATGTGAGAATTGACTAACTTGAGTGACCTATGGCCCCAGGAGGCATTCCGACAAGATCAAAGAAGCTCCGGCAAGGTTCAATAATGGTGACCGAGGTGGTTTATGCAGATTTAATGGCCCAAAATGCAACAAACAACCAATATCATGATCAGAAACACGTTTTTAACATCAACAAACTCAGAATCATGAAAGAAATCACACGATCAAACAAGATTAAACTCAAACACATGTTCTGGAGTTTTATGAGACCGTGATCATGAGCCAACTTTTCCTGTCTCGTTGATGATCGATTCTGAAATTTTGGACCAAACTGCGATCATAGAATGATTCCCTGATGTGTATTCTTCAAGTTCATGATCGCCGCTTCGTCGGAAAAGTCCCGGATACGTCGGCCAAGCCTCGTCTTCAGGCCTTGATAATCAACCTTGTTGCAGGTTCTCCGGTGAAGAAACTCACCATCGGGATCGATTTGCCGGCGCTTTTCCGATCGAAAAAGCGCCGATCGCTTGGCCCTGGTAATCTTTACTCACGCTTACGCTCAATCTCTCTCTTCCTTGCTTTGATTTTCTCTCTCTCTCTCTCTCATGAATTCTCTTGAGCACCTTCTATGTGCACGATAACATTTTTTTCTCTCTTTTCTAGCCCAATTTCCCACCCAAAAATCATTACCACCAACCTCCAAATCGGTTACAACGATTCTCTGATGCTAGCCGGAGATTCTCCAGCTGGTAAAATTGATTTTCACATGCTCATTTGGCCCCAGTAAGGCGGTGAAGAGGCAGGCTAAGAAGATATTTTATCCATTTTGTGCTTTTTGGGCGGGTCGGGTAAACAAAGAGACCGATCCGGGTCGAGTCGGGTTGATCTGATTGACCTGGCAGAATCGGGTTGGTCTAAATTCGCGAATTCGACCCGATTTTGACCCTATTTTTCAATTTTAACCCCAAAATTGGATTCCTCAACACATTTTGCACCCAAATATGAGATTTTTCCTAATTTTTAAGACAATTAAACCCAAAATTCCTAAATTTTAAATTCGGATTACTAGGGTTTTTGTTCAATTCTGTATCTAGATGACCTGATTGGGAAAATTGATGCCAAAATTGGATTGCCCATAACTGATTAACCCTAGGAATGGTGCTCTCTTGATTCGTCAATTTCAAATTGATCAAGATTCCCAATTTGAGCTTAAAATCCCTGATTTTTAAACCCCTTTAGGCAATCTTGGGGGGATCAATTCTCTCTCGCCTGAAGAGCCCCTCTCTATCACCTGGATAGCTTTGGCCTAAATCCCATTTCCTTCCAAAACCCACAGAATCCATGTCGACAATAATACCATCGTTCTCTCCTACTCTCTACCCTCACACCTTTTCCAAAACCCTTATCTTCTTTATAAATCGCTCAGAATGGCGAGGATTAAGAGCAAAAACAAACGATGTTGAAGAAGAGAGGCGCAACTACAGCAAAATGGCGAAATGCGGTCTCCAGGTGCAGTCGACGGCAGCTTAGCCCCCTCCTCTTGCGCCACACCTTTTCGGATGTCCAGGGAAACTATTCACTTCAGTTCAAGGTTCAAAAGCAAAAGAAAAAACGGCGAAGAAGAAAGCAACGATTGTAGACACTTGTCTTCGAGCTGGGTCCTTTTCCAACTTCTGGTATGTTTCCTTCTCCTCTAGGTGGCGCCACTCTTTGGGTACCTATGGAAGAAGCATAGTTGTAAGAAATCGCATGCTAGGTGCGTTAGGTTGATTTAGTCACAAAATCTAGCAATATGGAAGAAAACAGAGAATGGGATCTAAGGATGGCGGCCTTGTGTAGAAGGTTGGGACATCTCTGGACAGGAAGAAAAATTGTTGTGTTAGACAATGTGGTGACTGAAGACAAATTACAAGAGTGTGAACGTAATGTCTTTGGTAAACTTCTTGGAAGTCCTTCTGTCAATTTCCAAGCTTTCCAAGCTTTCCAAGCCACGATGAAGAAAGCTTGGAAATCGAATTCTGTCATATGCAAGCATCTACAACCAGGTCTGTTTTCATTTGAGTTTGAGTCTGTGGAGGAGAGAGACAAAATACTGAACTCTGGACCTTAGTCCTTCTCAAGCCATCTACTGGTAATAAAGTTATGGGAATCGAGTATGCCTCCACACTGCATTATATTCGATTCTTGTACCGTTTGGGTTCAAATTCATGGCTTACCTATAGAGGGGAGGTCTGAAGTAGCAAT